TAACTGTATGGAAGTTCACTGAGTCGTGTAGACTTTGGGTCTGGTTCATTTTGGTGTGCAATGTTTTTTTTTTTAATTGTCTTGCAAGCTGTTTTATAACAAGAGCTCATAAAATTTAAAAAAAATGAAAATACTAACTTATTTATTTAATTCTGAGGTAAGGAATTATTTTTCTTCCCCTTTTATTTGTGAACTAAAGATAGGCCCTGTAATTGAACTACATTGTGAAGAAATAGTGATAAGTCTGGTATGTAAAATGTACTGAGAATAGGCAGCTCTGATGAATTAGAAAAGACACCAATATTCAGAGGCTTGGGAAGCTCTAGAATCTTGTTTCTGTCAACTCTTTGCTCTGTTTTCATGCATTAGAATCAGAGGTATAGTCATGTAAATGTATTGTGTACATTTTCCCATAATACATGATGGGGGGAACATTTAACTTGCTAATACTTTGATAAACATTCTTTTAATAAAGTTCATCTTATCCCTTTTTCCATATGACTGGTGCTTTTAGTGTCAAGTTAATAATTCTCACCTGTTGAAAATGTGTTTCCCTCCAAAATTAATAGTTTCAATTTTCATAATTAAATCTGAAATGTATTGGGAATTCAGGGTTTTTCCTCCTTTTTTTATATGTAGTATGAGGCAAGAATCAAGACTGTGCTTTTTAACCCATCTGCTATTCAATTAGCAAAGCATCGTTTGTTGAGTGGATCTCCCCTTTGCCAGATGTGTCTAAAGTTTGGCTGAGTTGCATAGCATGTGATCTACCTATCACAAGTCTCTTCTCACTCTCTTCTTCAACAAAGTGAATAGATTAAGCCAAACTTGATTTATGATGATTTATTTATACTCAAGACATTCTTGGTTTCAAACTTTGCTCTTTTGATGTAAGTGATGGACAGCCAGCAACTGAATTACAATTTCCATTCTACCAAGAGAAGGGCTGTTTAATGCTGTAGGTCAAGTTATACCAGCCTGAGGATAATGGGTAGCTCTGCAGAGGTCAGGTTAACCCTCACTGCTTCATCCAAGTCAAGGCTACCTAAACATTTAATATGCAGCACCTACTTTTGGTGTCCCTTAATCACCTACACATAATGTTGCCTGCTTACAAAACTATCATTTTTATTCATGGGAATCTGGCCTGGGCCTCTGTAACTCATGCATTCACTGCAGTCGGTTGTCACAGAGATTCCATCTCTGACAGACACAGGCTTCATTTTCAAGCAAGCATTTTTCAGTCAGATTTGATGCCTGTCTTAAAAACAGAGACCTCAAAGTTAAGAACTGTAGTAACATTTTGTTTGTGTTTTAATAAAACTTGCCTGAAGATCGGAGTGCAAAGCTAGCCACACTAGTTAGCCAGAGAGGTCAGGCAGTGGTGATACACACCTTTAATCGCAGCAATTAGGAGACAGAGGCAGATGGATCTCCGTGAGTTCAAAGTCACCCTGAGCTACACGAAACTGATCCAGTTTAAAAGAGAAACAAAAGTACACAAAAGCAATCTCAGTGCTTGGGATCCCACGCCTTTAATCCCAGCAGTAGAGAGTAATATAAGGTAAGAGGAGACAGGAGCTTGGTGCAGTTTGAGGTTTGGTGGAGACAGATACAGTCTGGAGATGCAGTCTGACTACAGGATCACCCTTTCTGTCTGAGCATTAGTAGAGGGGAGAACTCTCTAGTGGCTGGCCGCTTTGCTTCTTTGACCTTCAGCTTTAACCCCAATATCTGTCTCTGGATTTTTTTTATTTATACCAATTAGGATTCATGCTATAAAGAACTCTCTGGTGTATGATGCAAAATTTCATCATAGGTATAGAGTCAGACATATTTTAATGTATTTATAGTTGTAGTCCTTAAAATAAGAAGTTATTGCTTTTTTGTTTAATTTGCTCAAATCTCTTAACATGTAGTTTTCCATAAATAAATCTAGTTTATAAAAAAATTATCATACTTTTAGAGATTTTTTAATAGGCCAAAAAAAATGCCTTGGCTTAATCTCTATTGCCCCTAAAAACATAGTTAAGCGACCCATGAATATTTAGAAGTTTACTATCAGGACAGCTACAAGTAGACACTTCCCAAGCCATTACTTCAATAGTAAAATATAACAAATCTATGATTTTACTTCACTTTATAGTTCTTATTTTTTAAAATACATGCTGTTTATTCAAACAATAAAATTAAACCTAAATGATAAAAAATTGAATGCAGATGGAAATAAATTACACTGAATATTTGTGAGTTTTAAATTTTGCTTTCATTTTTAATTGTATACTTGAGTGCAGGTTCCTCAAAAGTCAATGATGTTGGGTTCCTCCAGAGCTGGAGTTTCAGGCAGCCACCTAAAATGGTCCTGGAAATCAAACTGGGGCCTAACTCAAGCCTGAATATCTGCAAATTTTAGCGTATCAACACAAGGCAAGTAATTCATTCAAATATCTTTTAAAGGTCTTTATCCTAACTGGGATAAATCCTATTGGCAAAACAAGCCATAAAGGAATCTGTCTCTGTTCAGAAAGTTCCCTTTTGGTGGGGAGGAAGCAAAGCTATTCTTGTGCAAATGACCACAGCACCAATGCTCCTGAGCTATGCATTTGCAGAGCTGTACAGTTGGGGGTGGGTAGCGAGCCAGATACAGAATGAAAAGCATGAACCAAGCAAAGCAGGACATCAACAGAAGGCAAATGTAGAGAGTGGGGACAGCTCGCTGCACATGTGACCAACAAGAGAAGCCCTGAGTAGCTCAGATACCTTGTATACCAAGTATCTCAAGTGACAGTCTTTAAACCACCCACTGACTATCCTGTGGCTGAAGAAGAGCCCATTCTTTAGCCTCTCTCATAGCAGGGAGCGGAAGCCATGTCAGCCTTGGCCTTCTCCTCACCCTGAAGTCCTGACTACAGCCTTGGCCTTGCTGGTGTAGTACCACACACCTTCTCCAAGAACCCTCTGCTGGCCTTATCGCTTGCTTCTGTTTCTCCTTCTTTAGTCTGACTTTCTTATTGGTCATTTACCACCAGTAAATTAAGTTATTCCAATTCCCCACACACTACTTCAGTACTGTAACACTTTTTTAATTTTTTGTTTTACATTTTAAATTAAAACATAATTATTATATCCCTTCCCTCCTTCCATTTCTTCCCTCCAGTCCATCCAAAGTATTCATCATTTCAACTCATCCTATGCCCCCCCATGCTCAAAGTGACAGTCTCTTTTTCATTTATTATTACTACTACTACTACTACTACTACTACTACATACACAGACACACAGACACACACACATATATATATCATGTATGATGTCCATATATGTGTGTATATGGACCATTGTCTATATCTTTATCTACATCTATCCCACCCAGTCCATTTTTGTTCTTTGCGCACAGATGGTTTCAGGCCAGACTACTTTGTGCTGGATAGTCATGGACTCATCCCTCTGAGATGCTAATTCTTCTTCCCCCAGCAGTCATTAGTTTCCTATAGTTCTGTTTTACATTCTTCTTAAAAGAACACACTTAAGGGGCTATAGAAAGGCTTTATGGGTTAAGAGCACTGACTGTTCTTCCTGAAGAGCTGGGTTCAATTCCCAGCCACCTGCATGGCAGCTCATTTCCACCTGTGACTGCAGTTCCAGGGAATCTGAAACCCTCTTCTGGTCTCTGATGGCCCCAGCCATGCAAGTGGTGCACAAACATTTGTACATGCAGATATAATTCCCACACAAATACAAGAACAAAAGTTACTCTTGGGTTTAAAGGCTTCTCCATTCTCATGAGATGAGACCACGCCTCATGCTGTCTTCATGAATGCATCACCATCTCGGCATGTACCATTCTAAGCCCTTCCTGGAACACTGTCCGTTTGCCATCAGGACTGAACATACCATCCTCCAGTTAGTCATTTCCAACACATTGATCTTGCCCCTTCGAGGCCACCCATCTTCAACAGAAACTTCCTTTCCTCTTCTACTTACACATTGCAAGAGGTTCACAGTGGGTTGTAGGAAAATTTAGGTATGTGCATATACCTGGTCAAAGATTTAATGGTGTCCCAAGACTTTCAAAATTGGAACACAACCAGTACTCCTATATAAACACAAGTGCAGATCTCACCTGCTGCTTATAAAGCCCATGTAACAGAGCTAGCCAGCATTGGTCCAAAAGCACACATGTTTACAGACATCATAAATTAGCCCTGCAATAGTCACATGTACACACCTAGATGCATATGATAAACCAGAAGTTAACATAATCCAGAAAGCCTGATCTCTCCCATCAGGGGGATACTGAGACACAGAACCGCACTGGTCAGATCTCCTATCTCTGTTCTCCTCAAAGCTGACTGCTATGTCTTCAACAGTCACCTAATTGAGTTGCAATCCCCTGGCTCATTCTGGTGAGAAAGCACCTTCACCAAACACCCTCCTGGAGAGTCACCCATACAGCCCTAATTGCTCAATGTACAAGTGTAATGCTTCTTATTATGCTAGGTAAGAACTCTTCTATGACAAAGACTTCCATTTGCTTCTTTCACAAAGTGAGTCTGGCTTTTGGTGTACCGAGGATGCTCCCTGGGAAAAAGAGGGACCTCTCTTCCTGTCTAATTTGCTTTTGAAAAATATTCAATGTTTCTACTTTAATTCACTTAGTAATGAAAAGTAAATGAGACCAACAAGCATGTTTGATTTGTCACGGAAACAGAAACAGCTTTGCAAGAACAAACAAAATTAAATTAAAGTAAGTGTTTCTCCTCCATGGTGAAATTGAATTCCCCCCGCCAAAACTTCATAACATCTGTGAAACACAAGGCAGACACCAGAAAGACAGGGTGCCTTGATACTCAGCAAGCCTCATCTGTACCTACCCCTGACCTACAGATGGTCTGTGTAGCAAGGCAGGGACATGTCTGCAGAAACCACACATGCCCACGTTTCACTGATGTAAGCAGAGAGTAGCTGGGGCTGCAGGTCAAACTGTGTGTTCCACCTACCGTTTTTGCAGATGGGGCAGCACTGGTCAGGCTCATACACGGGGTCCACACATTCCGTCTGGGGACAGGCCGACACTGTGCATAGCACTTCACCATTGGCTTCACATCGACACCGCTCACACGGAGACACCTGAGACACAAGTCCATGATCAGGGTCACACCTCTCACAGTCCTTGTCCTATAAAGTCACATCTTTATTTTTAGGTATGAAGATGCCCAGATGCTTTAGGAATGACATTTTTAAGTTCTTGGGCCCAGTATTTTTTCAAATGTTCCTGGTGTTTCCTGAGGAGTAAATAAAGGTATTTACCAGGGCTACTCAGTCTCTCAGCTCCAGTTAGGGAAGTTCTCCCCAAAGGTACTTCTTTAAAAGCATCCCTTTGAAGAAATATTTCTGTTGCTTCCAAAATCAAGTTACTACTGATTTCTTGCTTGATAAAGCCTTACTCTTTCATAACTCTGTCAGCTCTGCATTTAATCTAGCCTGGATTGTTCCCAATATTTCTCAGAACAGGAGAAAGCATAAGACACTCACGTGATCTTCTGAGGCCAGGAGCCCCTTGCCAGGAGCTGCATGACCTTGATATCCCAGAGTTCTTACAGTCACACTAAGTGCCCTCCTGAAATGGTGGTCTTGTCTGCTGGAAAGACACCTGAGACCTGAAGGCATTAGGCAACTTGCCTTCACCAGGTATCTTAAGGGATCAAGCTGAGATGCCACAGAGGGCTCTTGACTATAGGTCCATGCTGGCTCCTCTCCAACACCTCACAGGGTCAATCCTTCATGTTATCAATAGTACCATGTTCTTCTGGGAACCCAGACTTTGACAGGTATCAGGGTCTCTCTGTCTCTGTGCTCCCTGCTCCCCTCCCCTCCCCGTGGTGTGTGTTGTGTTTGTGTGTGTGTGTGTGTGTGTCTGTCTGTCTGTCTGTCTGTCTATTCTCTGTCTTTTTAAGTACGTATACAGAGAGAGAGAGAGAGAGAGAGAGAGAGAGAGAGACTTAAACATTTCAGAATAGCCCAGAATAAAATGTTGGCCTAGTTTGCAAGTCAAAACCAACTTTACAACAATATAAAGGCACAGTTTTAAGAAGTGTTTTTGGCACAACATAGTGTGGGGGATTTTGCAATATGAATTTTTGCTGCTGTTTTCCTCAGTTTTTCCTGGGTAGAGCACTGCATCTCTGTCTCAAGAGCAGATGTAGACAGCAAAAAACAAGAGGAAAATATTCTGAGTTTTAAAAGCAAAGACCTTGAGTTGCAAGAGAAACAGTCAAGTACATGTCAGATCCCCTTAACTGGAAGGACTTCAGGCAGAAGCCAAGAAACCCAGATGGTGTGGCTTAGAGATGCAGAGCCATGATGCCCCAAGGGAGCAGAGCTCTACCCAGCTTAGGGCAGTAGAGCTAGCAATGGGCAGGAAGGTCACATATCTGCATTTGTCCTTAGGAAGCTGCTCTAGGAAAAAAAGATGACGCTCAACATGGGATGGATTTAAAGGAGACAAAATGGGCCTGTGCCAATTCCCTAGGCAAAACGTGTACTTGAAAGTCAGACTGCATCAGTTTGTAGGCAGGTGGCCTTTGGTGAGTTCACCCTTCCACATGAGGCCTCAATCTGACCTAGAAATGAAGTCCCCTATGTCCAGGCCAAGCTAAAACCTCCCCATGTGAGTGCTGCAGAGCACAGCTCACCTGATGGTTTTCTATTCTTTATCCAGAATTTGATTGTGGGGAAGTCTGACTCAGCTGCACAGGGACTTGTTCCGTAAGTGTCCCTCTCCAGACTTGCTCCTACTATCCACATCTCCTATCAACAGCTCCCACACGGGGGGCTGCCTCCACTCCAATCCCAGCTCGGGCCACCTCAGCTCCTACAAAGAGAGGGTGCTGAGAGGAAGTTTCAAGTCTCTGTTGGTTCCCTGAAGCATTCTGCTGGTACCACAGGCCCTGAGTTCCTAAGACAGCAGCTTTCCCTGTGTGTTAATGGGGTGCCCACCTTGCCAGGACCCAGCCTCACTTCAGAACTGCCTGTCCAGGGCTCATATTCCTCTCTTCTGCAAGACAATACAGTCTGATGCTTCCTTCTGAATTGCACACCTTCCTGACCACCCAGTCTCTGGACCCCTCTGGGACCACCTGTCAGGCTCTATTGCCACTCCTTTTGTTGACTCCTGGTCATCAATTAAGCAACCACCAGGTAACCAGGCATGCCTAGGAATAATGCTTCCTCCTGATTTGTGAAGTTCAGTGATGCTTATCATCTGAGTGTTTTGGCTTTCACTTTTCTACTCTACACTTGTACAGAACTGTGCCCCTTTTAAATGTCATACCAAATCTATTTCTGCTGACTATAGAGCCAGCTGAGATGTGTCTATCAAAGCATGGGGTCTTTCCTCCAGTAAGCCATCATTCAATTCTGTCCCTTGGCCTGTTATATGACTCTTACAGTGTATGCAATATTGCTAAGTTTAAAAACAAAACAAGACAAAGGAAATACAAAAAACAAACAAAAAAACAGAACAGAAAATAGTGTTCATGGGACCTCAGGAGCCAATCAAGGAAGTTGTAACCAGGCTGAACCCCTCAGCATAGCACATTCAAAAAGTGACCCCCATGAGGTTGATGGGGACACAGAGGGACTCAAACTAGATCTTCTTGCACCTCTGGCTTTGACCCAGACTAAATTTACCCTTCAAAAACTGACTCAGTTCAGCAGCCCCAGGCACAGCAACATGCCAGGAGTGAACCTAACATGTATTAATAAGAATAGTATGGCTTTTCCCAACTGGGAATGAGGATGAAAACATTCTCTGTTCATGCCATGATTCCAGCTGTAATTTAGAAATGTGGACTTCTTCTACCACCTTTTGGGAGGATGGGGATAACATGGTGTTTGAGGTGGGTAGTGTGGGTATGAGTGTGTGGGGGGTGTTGATGATCAAGTAGCTGGGCCTGGCCCCTGCGGGAAGAGCTCTGATTTCACACTTCTGGTCATTGTCCCTCTTCCACATGGCTCTCTTAGTCACCGTGTGTGCTACACAGCTGCTTGTCAGAGGAAATCTAAGAAATACGCTCTAAACCCAAAGCAGAAATTTTTCAGTGAAACAACTCTGACTACAGCATGGACAACAAAGTGTAAATAAATACAGTAATTCAATGGTAAGGAAAGTAGATCAGTCATGACGGGGTTGCCCTCACAGCACTCAGTAGATATATGTGTGCCTCCGTCACAGGTACAGCAGCAGCAGTCCAAGCAGTAAGTACTGAGGCTGTACCTTTTGATTCAACAGAAGTCGACGGGGTGGTTTAAGAACAAATGGCCCCCGAAGGGAGTGGCACTATTAGGAGGTGTGGCCTTGTTGAAGCAGTTGTGGCCTTGTTGGAGGAAGTGTGTCACTGAGGGGGTGGGCTTCAAGGTCTTTTTTTTTTTTTTTTTTTTTTTTGCTCAAGCTTCACTCAGAGTGATACTAAGATGTAAGACTCTCAAGCTCCTTCTCCAGCACCACGTCTGCCTCCATGCTACCATGTCTCATGATAATGGACTGAAGCTCTAAATTATAAACAGCCAATTAAATATTTTCTTTTAAAAGAATTGCTGTGGTCATGGTTTCTCTTCACAGCAATAGAAACCCTAACTAAGACAGTGGGCAATGTAATTAATACATGAAATTAGTCTCAAGTATAAAATGAAGACCATAAAAATGAACACTCCTCCTTACACCTGAACTAGATATTCCCACATGACCTAATCACTTCCTGAAAGACCCTACCTCTTCAAGCATCCATCTATCACCACAGGGATGATCAAACCTCAAACATGTGCACTCCCACAAGATGGCAAGTTGTATACATTTTGTATTCATGAACTTGGGTAGAATTAGGTGTCTATCTTTAGGAAGCTCTGCCTTGGTCAGTTTGTAAATTCTAATTACTAGTACCACAAGAGGGGTCTACAGAAAACTCCTTAAATTTAAATCCTGATCTTGTCTTTGTCTCTAACTTCTTTCCTGTGGAAAATAAGGAATCTCTCCTCTCCTCTCCTCTTTTTGTTTCTCTCTCTCTCTCTCTCTCTCCCTCTCTCTCTCTCTCCTCTCTCTCTCCTCTCTCTCTCTCTCTCTCTCTCTCTCTCTCTCTCTCTCTCTCTCTCTCTCTCTCTCTCTCTCTCTCTCTCTCTCTCTCTCTCTCTCTCTCTCTCTCTCTCTCTCTCTCTCTCTCTCTCTCTCTCTCTCTCTCTCTCTCTCTCTCTCTGAGACAGGGTCTCACTATGTAGCCCTGGCTGTCCTGAAACTCACTCTGTAGACCAGGCTGGTCTTGGGCTCACAGAGACCACCTGTCTCTGGCTCCTGAGTGCTGGAATCAAAGACATGCACTACCATGCCCATCTGGAAAACAAGAAATCTTTCCAGATACTTCCTCCTGCTCCTTCCTGTCTGCACCATAGCATTCTCTCACCACACCAGAATTGCCCTCTGCTCTGGAATAGTGCATTCCTTTCTCAAATCAATTCAAATGCCATTCTATGCTGCACGAAAGAGGCATTGGTATATAAGAGTTGTGTGTGTCAACCACCCTGTCGTAGTTAGTCCCCTCTATTATACTCCTTGTCCAGAGGCTGTCACTAAGAACTGCGGAATGGGTACTATGAAATCCTATTGTGGCAAAAGGCAGCACTTCTTGGTGCCTAGGGACCAGTTCTATGCCGAATGCAGATGCTAACTCAACAGCAGACAAATGGGAGAGATGAAAATCCCAGACCGATTTCCCCAATGATTGCAGTGCTTTGGTTGATGGGATTAATTTAAATCGAGGGAAGAAGTATGAGTTAATAGCCTGCAGCTTAGATCTTTCTCCACCAAAGCTTCTCATGATAAAAGGAAGCTCCACTTAACCTATTTGATCAGTTTATCCATTCATCTTCCCAAACTCCTAAGTGTTCACTCTGAAATTACAGAACACAAGGCTATCGTGAAAACCAATAGATGCAGTAAAATTCAATCTCCTTTCTTTCCAATCACTTCTTCTCTGAAACAATTTTTGCTCTGGTATCCCCTGAATTTCTCCAGGCACAGAGAACACAGTCAAACTCACCCCCTCCCCAGTATGATGACCTTTACCATAGGACCCTCA